GGCGCGCGCAGAGGGGGGTAGGGGGGGGATGCTTCTTAAAAGGAGGCTGCTTCTTAGAAGGCGTCGGCCTTACGTCTATATATAGAGAAGGCCCGCGCCTTCTGAGAAGCAGGGGTGCTTTTAAGAAGCCTTCACCCCTCCCCCTGCCCCCCTCTGCGCGTGGCCGAGGTTGTGCCAGGCGAGGACGGCGTCTGCGTGGAGCCCAGATCTCCGACGAGGCCTTTTGTTCCCGTCCCCGGCGTGGCTCCTCGCTCTCGGACCGCGTGGCCCGTCGTCGGGCCCCGTGGCCGTCCAGGACGGATCCGCGACGAGGAGCTGCCCCCGTGGGAAGGGGCCGGGGCCCCTGGGGCGATGCAAGGAGAGAGCAGAGCGCCGGGTGCCTGGGGGGGGGGGGGCGGACCCTCCCCCCCCCCGCGCCGCCTCCTGCTCGCTTCTCAGCCCGAGACAGCTTCTCGGAGGGCAGGGGGGCTTCCACAGGTGCCCCCGCCCTCGGAGCAGGCCGGCCCCCCGGCCCTCGCAACGTGAGCGCCGCCAAGACCCCACACGTCCGAGGGCGTGAGGATCTCTTCCATCCGCGGGACTTGGAATCGGCGATGCATCGCCAATAATTCGGCCACCGATACATCTTGGACATCGTCAATTCGCAGACCGTCCTCGCGAATCGGCGACGGTCGGCATGGACCACGACCCAGATCGGTGTCGATAAGATGCCGTGTTCGTTTCCTCGAGAAAACCTCGAACCTCGAATCTCGTCGTTGCCGCCCTGGACCAGCCCCCTCCCCTGTCGTTGCCCCTGACTCCCGCGAAGCCACTTGGAGGTCCCCCAACGGTGCGGTGACAGACCTTGCGGTGACCTCGAAATCCCTAAGGACCTCACCGCACGGAACCTCCGAGGCACCAGTCGCCCGAGACGTCCTCGGAGAGCGACCCGAGTCCCAAATCCGTGCGGTCACCCCGAATTCCCACGGACTCACCGCACGGTGCGGTCACCGCACTGCTTGTGAGAGGCAACAAGGGGCAGCTCAGGAGGAAAGCACCGAGCTCGAATCGGCGATACATTAACGATACATCGGCGAGAGCCGATGGCAAATCAAAACTGTCCTGGGCGCGGCGGGCTATCGGACCCCTATTGGCGATTCATGGGCGACTGAGGGTCGATGTTTCGAGTCATAACTCGGCCCCCCGGCGGCCGTTCGGGACGATCCAGGCCCCCCCCGAACGCTCTCGGCAAGGCGCAGCTGCTGGAAAGCACCCCGACGCTGGGAAATCGCCGAGAACTGACAACGCCCGAAAACCACGAACCTATGACCCCTCGTTCCCCAATGAGCGAGGAGGAGGAGGAGGAGGAGGAGGAGGAGGAGGAGGCGCAGGAGAACTGAGGAGGAGGAGGAGGAGGCTACCCCCCACTGCCGCTGCCCCTGAGGCTGGGGCGGCCCCCGAGGGCGCCGCTCCGCGTCGCCCGGCCGCCTGCTCTTCCCCCCCCACCCCCGGGGGGGGCTGTGCGCGCAGCCCAGCGTCTCCAGGCACGCCAGCGAGGTCCACTCGCCGCCCGCGTCGGCCCCGTCCTGGGCGAGCCTGGCAGGGGGGGGGGGAGGGGGGGGGCCAGAGAGGAGGCACGGGGCGGGGGGGGGGGGGCAGAAGCGAGGGGGAGGGGCAGGGGGAGGGCCAGGGAGGAGGCAAGGGGTGGGGGGTGGCAGAAGCGAGGGGGAGGGAGGGGGGGGGGAGCCAGGAAGAGGCAGGAGGATTTGCGGAGGAGGCGGACGGGGGGATGCAGGAGAACAGAGGAAAGTCCACGCACCCAGGGGCGAGCGAGTCGCGCACCCTCCTGACTGGATATCCGAGTGGCAACCCGCGACCAGGGGGTCAGAGACAGGGGGCGGCACCCGCCTGCACGATCATGAAGGCCAAGCCTCCAGACCCTCAAGGTGCTCTGCCTCCCCTCCCTCGCCCTCCTCTCCCCCCTCCCCTACGAGAACGGCGCCCGTACTCCGCGCCCTGTTTGGATTCCTATGTGGCCCCGCCCCAGCGCTCGACTGAAGGCGAAAAACTGTGAAATGAGGAGGAGGCAAAGAAAGAAGAAGGAGAAGAAGAAGGAGAACAAGAAGAAGAACAATAATAAGAAGAAACAAAATAAGAAAAATAAGAAGCAGAAGAAACATAGTAAGCAGAAGAAGAAGCAGAAGAAGCAGAAGAAGAAGAAGAAGAAGAGGAAGAAGAAGAAGAGGAGGTGGAGTGAGGGGGCCACATGCAAACAGAAACTGCCGTTGGCAAGATGCCCTGCCCTCACCGAATCGTCTCTGGCGTGACCCTCGGCTGCGGAAAACTGTGCACCGCACCGGCCCTGGCTCGAGCCAACGCGGCACGGTGCACGCGAGCCGCCCGTGGACTCCCCCTGTTGCACCGCCAGGGGACACCCCCGACCCACCGCATCCCCGGGGGGGGGCGGTGGGCGTGGGCGCTACCTCCCGCAGGCGCAGGTGGGGCGGGGGGCCCGACGCCCCCTGGGGCCCCTGTGCCCCCGCCGCTGCCCGACGAGAGGGCGGCGTAGGCACGCTGGCGGTGGGCCGCCCCCAGCCCCGCCTCGCCGCGAGACCCGACCAAGAGGAGCCTTCAAGGCGGCCTCCTGGAGGCCGCGAGAGGCACCCGAAAGGCCTTTTTGGAGGGCGGCATCACCGCACTCGAGCTGGGCACCCCTGCAGAGCGGAGCCCTGCAGCAGACGCATCGCACCCAAAGGAAGAACTTCCGAGGTCGCGAAACACGCGCAACGGTAGCGAAGAACGAAACGAAACCAAGGGAGGACACCCCGAAGTCGCAGAACCGCACAGCCGCTGCAACGTCTCGTCGGTGCCCTCAACCTCGGTCACCACCTGCTTGGACGGGTCCTTCCGCGACTGCGTCGGGACGCAACCAGCGCCGTCCGTCAGCCTCAGTTTACTGCGGCCGTCGCTCACATCGATTTTGTCCCCACTAACCGAGAAGACGGTGCCAGGGTGGACGGACGAGACCACCTCCGCGGCCACGTAGCAGTCCTTCAGCACCGCGGCCTTCTTGTTACTCGCGATGGCGAAACGCAGCGTGCAGAATATCACGTTCGCCGCGCTCCGCTGGCCAACGAACTGCTCATGCGCATGGAAATCGCCTGCAGCAGCTTCAGCCTGAACATCCCCACCCACAGAGGCATCTGCCGTGTGGGGGTGGGTCCCCACGGCAGAGTCCTGACCGGCAGCGGCCACAAGCATGTCCGTAGCCTCATTCACAGAGGTCTCGCCCAAGACCTCGCACACCCTGGATTTCTTGCCGACGGCCTTGGTGAGATTCTGCGGAGCCTGCTCTGCAGAGGCCCCACGACAACGCACGAGGAGAAGAGAAAGGCCCCGCAAGTGCACAGAGCGCCCTCGACCAAATCGTGGAAAACCGCCGCGTCCTCGACGACGGGCGGCACGCAGGGGACGAACACCTCCACCTCGGGGTTCAGCTGGAAATTCGGATGCTCAGCACACTCACGACGGACCTCCAGACGATCAGATTTTCGGAGCGAGCGAAGAGCAGCAGGGGACGCGGTGGACACTTTACAACCCTTCGCATCCGCGTGGAGTGCGACATTCCGACATAGGACTGCTTCACGATCAAGTGTAATACCGTGGAGGAGGGCTCGAGGAGCAGGAGCGAAAGCAAAAATGCGGTCCGCAAGCTCGGCAACCCCAAACACCTCCTCCAGGCAGCCGTGCAGAGACTGTAACTCTGCCTGCAGAGCGTGCACTTGACCAGATAGGCGGCTGATGGCGCCATCTGCTGACAACCTGGCCTGCTCGCGGGCAAGCTTCCGAGACTGGGCAGATCGATGCCCTGGGCGCGCATCCGCGCCCTCCCGAGCCATCTCAAGGATCTCCAACAGTCTGGCAGCGCCGCCTCCAGACACTGGCCATGCGCGATGCGAAAATGGAGGAGGCGGAGGAGGAGGAGGAGGAGGAGGAGGAGGAGGAGGAGGGAAAGGAGGAGGGAAAGGGGGAGGAGGAAAAGGGAAAGGAGAAGGAAAAGGAGGAGGAGGAGGAGGAGGAGGAGGAGGAGGAGGAGGGAAAGGAGGAGGAGGAGGAGACCTGCCCCCCCTCGGCCTGCTCACCGCCAGCAGGCGCCCCACGGCGGGCTCCACCAGGCGCCGGCGCCGGAGGCGCTGCTCGGAGGCGCCGGCGGCGCCGGCGCCGCGGAGGCTGCTCAGCGCCAGGACCAGGCCTGCGCTCGGCACTTTTTAAAAAAATTTGATGCTGCAGACCAGACGCATTGGAAAAAGACGATTCCTGTCCGCTTAAGCGCTTGCGTTCACAGCCTGATCACACCAGGCAAAAGTAGCGGTTGCGGCGGAACCTGTGGATAACCCAGAGATCCGAAGATATGATACATTGTCTTCAGGAGGGTGGAAAACCATACTGGGCAATACTTGAACGACCGTGCTGATCATCCGGCCGATTGTGGCGCCAGTGGGATCTCATGTGGCCCTGCTGAGGTCCATCGCTGGGCCGGCCTTGCTGGCTAAACAATCTGCTGCTCGAGGACTGGCAGCCCCCGTTCAGTTTCGATACGGCAGGTTCGTGTCGTGCCGACCCCAGCGTTGGTTTTTGACACCGCGGGGATCGTTCAACCTTGAACGATCGGCCGCTGCCGCAACGTCCGATCGTTCAACATCGATCGATTCTGGGTCGCGTGCGGCGCTCAACCTTGAACGCCCGCGCTGGGGTCGCCGCTGGTCGACACGACGCGAACCTACCGTACATGAATTTTTCAATCTGGCGTCTTTCCCTGAATCTCCTCCTCTGGGGCCCGTGAGCGGGCCCGGGGGCCATCAGAAGTGGGGTCCGGGCGGAGCGAGCGGAAGCACAAACGGGGCGCAAAGGAAGAGAACGGCAAATGCACAAGGGGGGAGGAAGAACGGACGGGGGAACGGAGAAGGGAGAACTCGTGAGGGCGAACGGAGAAGGGAGGGGGAGGAAGGAGAACGGAGGAGAGGAAACGGAGGAGGGAGGAGGGCGAGCGGAGGAATGACGCAGAAGAGATAACGGAGGACGGAGGCGTGAGGAGGGAGAATGGAGAATGGAGAAAGGGGGAGACCCAGGTGGAATGAGTCAAAGAAGACCACCGCTGAATACTGCGTCTGATACTCAAGAGAAACACTGATGGGAAAAGACGATTGAAGAAGAAAACAGATCAAGACGAGAAAAGTATATCACATAAGGCGACGTGAGTGTGCATATATGTATATCTATGCAAACATATATATATATATATAAAAATATAAAGATCCCACCTGTCGCACCACCAGACGCGTTGGTAGGGCGGGCGGGGCGTTTCGCCCGAGACTTCCTCACCATGTATGACCCTGAAGCTTGAAGTTTGCAACCGTTTCACGGATGGAGGGCGGGTCGCTTTCAAAATGTGGCTCTCGCCTGGGCGTCGCGCGCAGTCGTCTTGAAAAGGAGCACATGCTTCAAAGATGCAGGGTGGGTCGGTTTCAAAATGTGGCTCTCGCCCAGGCGCGGCGCACATTCGTCCTAGAAGTCTGCGACAGCTTCAAGGTTGGAGGGAGGCCCGTTTTCAAAATGTGCCTCTCGCCATAGCGCCGCACGCATTCGTCTTAAAAGTTCACATCCGCTCCAAAGATGAAGGGCGGGCCGTTTTCAAGATGTTGCGGTGCCCTCAAGTTGCCCCTCTCGCAAGGTGTCGGGTTCACGTTCCTGTCTCCTGGCAGGCTCCCTGGTCAAACTTGCCTGGCCTATCGTTTTTTTGATGGCGAGCGCGCACAAAGCCACAGTCGCAGGATCTCACGCCCTCAATGTCTCCTTAGGGCTCTGCTGTTATCACGCAGGGGCCAACAGCATGCTTCGGCTTCGTAATTGACCATCGCGAAAGCGTAGAGGGCGGTCCCGAACATCAGCAGGAGCAGAGACGCGATCGTCAACGGAGGTAATGGCGCTCCTTGAAGCAAAGGCAGATCAATTGCAAAAACCAATGAGCACACCGGCAGCGCCCCATATAAAGCGAAGAATAATAACACTGGACCCCCAGTTGCCAGCAGCCACGTCATCGATATGTTGGTGAGCAGATTAAACAGGATGTAGAGAACGAACACCAAGCCAGCCTTCTCGCACTGGTGTGTCCCTGGGTGCTGAATTTTGTCACCAACTTTACCACTCCAACATTCCAGCCCTGAATGAAAGTACTCCGTCATACTGCCCCCCACGGTCTTCCAATCTGAACTGAAAGCCACCAACACTGGAAGCGTCAGAATTTGTAAAGACGATAATGGAAACTTGATCATGAAGATGTTCAGCTTGCGCATGCCGACGGAGCTGGGGTTACCAAGCCCACCAGCCCTACCGATTGTTGCTGAAAACTCTCGACTAGAAGGCTGCTGAAGGGCCTCTGACGACTGCCATGATGGCTGCATGAACCCACAGAAAATCGCCTCTCTGAAACCATAACCGACGCCGAAGATGACAAATGCGAATAGTGCAAGCAAGGTGTACCCAGGGTCTGTTTGAGAAGTTTCCCCCATCAAACTGGGGATGATCGGAGCAGCACAGCCGACCAGCATCACCGTCAAGGCCAAGATATGCACGAGGCTATACTCAGTGCCAACAATTGCATATGATGACAAGGCCACAGTGGGAAGAGTCGTGTAATGGGACAGAAGGTACACATTAGAGCTAATGTGCGATGCACTGAGCAGCGTCAGGAACTGCTGGGCAGTGTCACAACCAGCTGCTACCAACAAACATACCCAAGCTGGCGAAGGAATTCTACTGCCAGACATTCCTGACGGTTGCACCATGAATCTGAGCATTTCTCGAGAGACCGATCCATTCTTCAAGCCCGCAAGAAAACATAGGCCATACACAATGATTTGGCTGCAAATCGTCATGATCAAGGTGACCGACGTCAAATTCTGCCAGGAGGTCGCTAAGATTTTCTGCATGACCACGTTGCCAACACTGAAGAAATACGTACAAAGAAATGGCAAGCTGACAGAGCGCAGCCATGGCCACCAACTCTCAGTCCCAGCACGAGCCTGATGAGAAGCGACAGCCAGCGGCTCCCGCTGCGACGCAGCTCGGAGGAGGGCCGCGTGAGACAACGGCGGTGAGACACCTGCGGCCCAACTCGGCTCAAAACCTGTCCGTGGAAACCTCTGGGGGTCCAAACAGACCAGTTTTTCAAGCCGCGCCCAGTCGTCGCAACGCGGAGGCCGCTCGAAGGCAAAAAACAAGGCAACCCTTGTCTCACCACTCCCTCCTCTGAGCAGAAGCCATGAGACGCGCCACAACGCACGGTTGTGCATAACGCTCGTCGCCGGCCCTTGCGCCAAACCTGCCTTGCCTCCTGTGCGCGCTCTCTCCCGTCCTTTTCCCGTCTCGCAGGGCCTGTCGCTGATGCGTCTCGCTTTGGCAATCGATCCTGACTCCAAGTTCGAGGAGTAGGAGGAGGAGGAGGAGGAGGAAGAGGAGGAGGAGGAGGGGGAAGATTGGGAAAGGAAACATGAAGAGGAAGAGCAGTTGCCATGTGGGAAACGGGTCCTGGATGCAGGAAGATGGGTGAGAGAAGGGGTGGCAGGAAAAGGGGGAGAGGAAGAGGGTGGAAGAGGGAGAGGAGGGGGAGGAGGAGGAGGAGGAGGAGGAGGAGGAGGAGGAGGACGAGGAGGAGGAGCAGGAGGAGGAGGCGGAGGAGGAGGAGGAGCAGTAGGAGGAAGAGGCGGAGGAGGAGGAGGAAGAGGAAAACTCTTCGAAATCGACGCATCATCCATCCCATCCTGGGGCCCCTCCGACGTGGCTCTCGCCCCATCGCCGCGCAGATCCGTCGTAAAGTTTACAATCTGTCGCGGATTCCTGGTGCCGACATCCCAGGAACGGTGCTCTAGCACGGTTTAGATGGTCAGGACGCAACGGTTACGTGGATTCGCGGCGTTCAACTCCCAATGCTTGGCACGATTGATTCTCAAACGGTTGTCCTTCAATGGGCCACTTGCCACAATGGGAATAAACTCTTGGAGGAACCTATGAGGGAGGGAGCGTTTATTGCAACATCGCTGATGCGTCCTGGTTTACACTGTTCCTCCTCCCCCTCATCCTCCTCATCCTCCTGCCCCACCTCATCACCGTAGTCCCACTCTAACTCTTCGCCCCCCCCTCCGAATCCTCCCCCCTATAGCCCATCCTTTTCCGATCCCCCTCCCCCTCCTCCCGCTCCCCCGCCTCCTCCTCCTCCTCCTCCTCCTCCTCCTCCTCCTCCTCCTCCTCCTCCTCCTCCTCCTCCTCCTCCTCCTTTTCCTCATCCTCCTCCTCCTCCTCCGCCTCCTCCTCCTCCTCCTCCTCCTCCCCCTCTTCGCGCCGCACTCGCCTCTAGCCCCCAACTCCTCAGCAGCACTCGATGTAGATGGCAGTGTAGCGTATGTCATAAGCAAAGCAGTAGGCACGATGGTGCAGCAGTCAGGAACAGCTGGCTCAAAGAGTCTAGCAAGGCCTCCTCGAGAAAGAAAAGATGTGCAGCAATGCATGTAGGTACTAGAACTCTTCCGCCCCCACCATGCAGTACATAGAGCAAGTGGGCCCCTGGTGGCGCAATAAGTGCGACCACCGTACGAAAGATACTGACGTGGATAATATTTAAGGGCTGTTCGAACAGTGTAAACCTCTAACTAAGAACGACAAGAGGATAAGTGTAGCGTTCAAACCAGTACGCACCTCTGCCACATTAGGTCTCGGGTGGCCTCGGGGCGTCGTGACGCCATCGCCCGCTCGCCTTGCGATCCTCGACTCTGCCGTCGCCGAATGTTCCCGAACTCTCGTGTTCTTCCTCGTCCTCCTCCTCCTCCTCCTCCTCCTCCTCCTCCTCCTCCTCCTCCTCCTCCTCCTCCTCCTCCTCCTGCTTTTTCCAGCTGTCCAGTTTCATCCTAGGTCCCATGCAAGCACAGGCCCAGGTTTCAAACAAAACGCCGACACTACAGAGAGGAAAGAGGCTGAGGCAGCCCCAGTCGAAGGGCCGAACCAGGAAGCTCCCCCTCCTGTAGCTTGCGTAGCTCTCCGAGCTTTTTAGCAAGCCTGCACGGCCTTCCAAGCCGCAGGCCCACCTTCGTGGAGGCAAACCCTCCGCTTTTATTACACCAAATAAAAGGCACCTCGGGACCCTCTACCCAGGAGACCATAAGGAAGTGGCCCTGGGCATCCTCCCGTTCAACAAAACCACGAAGGGACTCGTTGAGTCCCCTACAGGGCCCAGCACTGTCCACCCCCGACCTCCTCAGGCAGCGGCGGCAGCGCCACTTACACTCCGAATTCCACCACACAAAATCATGCTTGGGCGGGGGCACAGGGCGAGGCTTTCTCTCACAGATTCTCCTGCCCAGGTGCCCCAGCTGCTCCTGCAGCGAGGGCCGGCACGCCAGACATCTCGCCGCCCCTTTGACAAAGGCGGAGTACGACTTAATGGCAAAAGATATATGCGAATTCTCATCCTCACTATAGCTGTTATAGTGAGCCACAATCTTAGCATAGTGGTTGGCATACTTGATCCCTGCAATGAATAGCTCATCAACCTGGTCAATGGCCTGCGAGCTGCTCATGTGGGCTTTCCCGTGGACACAACTGACCGAGCGACTGGGACCGACGACACGACTGACAGCCCTCCAGAAGTGCCCCTGGGAACATTTCGGCCCAAAAAGGGCCGCTGGGCGGCCGCACAAGGCCATACAATCCACATTTAAATCAGAGCTCTCAAGTCCGTCCTCACTGTACACCGTGGCAAGGACAACCCCCGCATGTTCTCCCGACACAGCAGTTTGGGAGAGGGTGGAGGGCACGCCTGCGTGGAAGCCTCGCACGAGGCATCCTTCTTGGTCGGTCTCCACGACCGCGCAAACTGCACGGGCAAGAGACCACGTGAACCTCGGGCACAGGCAACTCCCGTCCGAGAACAGGCGGGCCCCAGGTCCAAACAGAAACGGCTCACATGCAAGGCCGTTCCCGTCAAAAAAAAAATCTCCCAGGAGCTCGGAGGTTGGGGGAGGTCGAGATGGGCCTCCCACCCGAAAGTGAAAAGGGGGTGTCCTTCACCTGCCTCTCGCGCCTGCCTGGTCATTTGACCTAGCTCCTCATCTCTAACCTCCTGGCTATGACTGCACACCCAGATCCTGTGCCAGGTGGTGTCTGGGCGACCGCAAAACTCACAGACTGCGTCGACGTTCACTCCCCACTTTTGGAGCTGCACACGGGAAGGATGGGAGCGAGTGAACATCTGCCTGAAAAGAACCGATTCTCTCGCACTAAGGTCCAGCTTGGAGGAGGCTAGGGCCTTCTTGGGGAGTTCCCACCAGAGGCCCCTCTCTAAGAGATCCCTCCAACCAGGCTGAGCACTGTCGAATTTCTCTCGCACTACCTGTTGCACAAGCTTGTTTTTCAGCTGGCCTACAAATAACTCTTTGGCATAGGCTGGACTGTGGGTGGTAAGTACAATCTCCACCCCCCGACAGTCAACAAACCTGGCTGGCCCTAGGATTTCCCAGCCCACTTCTTGGAGCCAAAGGATGCAATCCGAAATGGGGCCTTTGCTTTTCAAGAACCACCTCTTCTGGGGAGCTCCTGAAATCCTGGTTAACGCAGCATTGAATGTCTGTGACAAGATGTCCGCTCTCAATGTGTCTTCGTGCACATGCTGGTCCTCGTGGCCCAGACTAGCTGAGAGCATCCACCATTCCTCGGCATAGCGGACCAGTGGCATAGCTGAAACATCTAAAGGGTCCCTGGCCCCAGGCAAACACCACACCAGATCCGTCGACGCACCTCTCAGAGCTATGCCACTAGCCTTAGCGCCTACCCCTCGTAGGGCATGCACCTGCTTGGGGTTGAAGGCTACCACCTCTCCCCCGTACACTAGGGACGGCTTCAAGTTGGTCTGAAACAGTCTACCTCGGGATTTACATCTACCTTGGAAGCTACTAAGCTTCCTTCGCCTATTGAAGAACTGCATAAAACGTTTGGCCCTGGTCCTCAGGACCTTGTTGCCTCTCCGAGGTTTTCCACCCGTGAAATCAATACCTAGATGTCGCACTGCATAGGCCGCACCACCTCCCAGGGATCCGAGTCTCTCCTGGGCCTGGCGCAGCAACGTTCCGCTCGTGGCCGTCATTCCAAACTTGCCAACCGCCAGCGGTAATCCTAGTGATTATTGAAGGTGCCTCGCCATGCTGCCAGCAATGCCGTACATAGTGTCTATTACCCAACTAGCGTTCTTGCCCCAAACCTGATGAACAGGTCATCTATGTGGAGGCTTTGAGCCGCACAGTCGGCCCAGTGGGTTGCACACGCATCCATTCCTGGCTTCAAGAAATGCTTTGCTTCATACGTGGCTGTGCTGCTGCCTGCGACTATCCCCCGAGAGGCCCAAAGAGCCGCGCTGACCATGCCTTCATAGCTGAGAACCCGAACCCAACCGTAGGAGGCGAGGGAGAACTCAAGGAGGTCAAGGGGATACATCATTTGGCATGCTTTGTCGCGCAGGCCCCCTCGAGGGACGTGTTCATAAAATTGCTTGATATCCCACAACAAGTGGAGCACGTGAAGCTTATTCTCCTTGCCCCATTCTGCGCGCACTGCAGCTCGCCAGACCGAGTCTGACGGGGAGCGCCGCTGGGTGGCAGAGAAGTGTCCCCCCATCCCAAACTCCGCCTCCCAGTCCCGAGTCCTCCCCGTATTAACGGCACCAAACAGCCGTGGGAAACTCTTAAAATGGCCGATCGGGCGCCTCGGGTCCCCTGGACCCTCGTTAGCCATGAGGTGCACATCTAAACTGCATATTGATGTGGGACCATTGCTAACCAAGCTCATAAAATGAAAAATCAGCGAGACAGTAGGGCCCTGTCATGTAGCAAGGCATAGTGCCGCGGGTGAAACCCATCAGGTTTGCACGTGGCATCTTTAAATCTCCGAGAGCAGGCTCTGATGTGGTCAACACAGAAGAGCCCTGGGACCTCCGAAGGTGGGCCTTCTAAGGGAGCTTGGTGCTGGTACACCTCAGAGGCCTGCCAAGCATCCTTCCAAATGCGTACCTGAGCTTCGAGGCGAGCCTCGACCGACAGAGACGCAAGCACCTGGGTGGCCGCACAGAGGTTCCCTTCTTTGTCAGGGCGCACTGGAGGTTTCCTTTTTAAATACCTATGAGCCAGCTTGGCACCCCCCTCCATGGCTTTGGTACACCACTCCTTCCAGCGTCTTCCAGAGCTCCTCCTCCTGCTCCTCCTCCTCTTCCTTCTCCTCCTGGTTCTCGTCCTCCTCCTCTTCCTGCAACGCCCGGCACCCTTCCTGCCAGCTTCCCCCCCGCCGTGTTTGGTTCAAGTCTTCTGCTCCCCCTGTGCCCGACAGCGGTCAACGGCCGAAGAGCTCTAAAGCGCAAGCAGCGTGCAGCCTTCGCTGTCGGCGCCCCAGATGGGGGTCCCCTCCATGAAGTGGTGCAGCACGCACTGGGGAAGGGGGGGCGGGCAGGAAGAAGGGAGGAGAGAGGAGGGGTCGGAGGAAGGGCGGAAGGAGGAGCAGGAGGGCAGAGTAGAAAAGGCGGCAGGAGGAGCGGCAAGAGGAGAAGGCACCAGGAGCAGCATCAGCAGCAGCACTAGGGGGGTGCATATGCTCCCCGAAGGCGTGCCATACAACCTCGGGCTGGTGCAATTCGCACTGTGTGGCTTGCATGTTTCACATGCGCATTCGCATGTTCGCATCTCGCCCCCCTCATCAGCAGCATCGCCGTAATCGCCATCGTCAGAATCACCACCGAGATCGCCGTTACCATACCATCATAAGCACCATCATAGTATCGTCGTCGCTGTCGTCGCCGCCATCGGCATCGCAGTTGCCATAGAGGTAAAACCATTAGCACCGTCGTTGTAGCCTATGTGATCCTCATCAAAATCGGAATCATGGTCGTCATCATCATCGTCACAGTCAGCACCGCCAGCATCACAATTACCACGCGTACCACCACCACCATCACCACGATCACCATAACAAGAAGGATCACACTAATCGCCACCATCATGACCCCCACCATCATCATCCTTGCCATAATCATCATCACCGTCGTCGTCCTGATCATCATCACCATCACCATCACCACCACCACCACCACCCACCTCCCCATCACCACCACCACCATCATCACCACCTGTAACATCACCAGCACCCTCATCCTCATCATCATCGTCATCATCATCATCATCATCATCATCATCATCATCATCATTTCCATCATCATCATCATCATCAGCATCATCATCATCATCATCAGCATCATCAGCATCATCAGCATAAGCATCAGCCACATGATCATCATCATCAGCATCAGCATCATCCTCATCATCGTCATCGTCATCGCTATCATCATCATCATCAGCATCGTCATCATCATCATCATCATCAGCAGCATCATCATCCCCCTCATCATCACCACCGCCACCCTCATATTCATCACCACCACCACAATCATCATAAGCATACTCCTCCTCCCCGTCATCACCACCATCATCGTCATCGCCATCGTCACCATCAACATCATCGTCACCACCATCACCATCATCGGCAGCATCACCGTCACCATCATTACCGTCATAACCACCATCGACATCCCCACCATCCTCCTCATCACTGTCATCACTACTTTCACCCTCCTCACAATCATCACCGTTATCATCGTCACGACCGCCATCGCCATCTTAACCATCATCATCACCAGCGCGCTGGAGGGCGTCCATGTCCCGATCGCGGAAGGCGTCCACGAACGCCCCAGGCCCGAAGCCGCTGGACCAGAGGCGCGCATGCGGGCGCGCGGAAACAGCACCCCTGGCAGCGAGGCGCACGCGGTCAGCCGCGCGGAACTGCGGGCAATGGCCGAACACGTGGGGGACTGCGGGCATTGCGCTCGGCCCTGGACCCGGCGCGCGTCCAGCGCGGGCGGGGCCCTAACGCTGCGATCGCCGCCAAACCCACCACGACCCTAGTTGAAGAACCACGGTATTCGAGACTTGCCCAACATTTTCTACATGCGCGGCGACTATCGAAAGGAGCGCCCCATACAATAAAGAACACACTGAAATTCAAGCAGCACTCTTGCCCGCGAAAGTACCGACACTTGCGCTTTCGGTAGACTCACTGAGAGCCGCCAGGTCACCTCTGGGCTTGCGTGCCACTCCATTCCGCTTGGCCCATCAGAGGCCTGCGAAAATGGGGACAATTGCGCAGCTGGCCGCCTCCCGTAGGAACCCGCAATGTCTCGTCTGGACGCGTGTACGACGCCACTCCGCTGGGATGGTGAAAGCTGCGCAATGGGCAACCCCCAAGGAGCCGAGCAGGGGCAAGGGCACCAGCGAGCAGGAAAGGGCTCGAGAGACCAGTGGGAACGCGCGTGGACATCAGAAGCAGGAACGCGCATGGAACCATGATGCCGTTTTCAAAGACGCAACATGTCGCGCATCAAGACCCCGCTGCAACTACACGCGATTGATCGCAAGATATACACGGTCGAAGACTTGCGTCAAGCACCACAACGCCGAAGGCTGCGTCGTATCCACCTGTGAAACGCCCGTCTGTAAAAAATACACACAGGCGAAAAAAAGAGAGGGAAGGGAAAGAAGAAGTCAGATAAGGGCAGGACGTAGGAAGAAGGGCGATGTCCAAGGATGAGGGAGCGAAAAACTAACCGTAACGGCGGCCTACAGCAAGACTTCGCTGAAGCTGGCACAGCACACAATACTCCTCCGCGGGTCCGATGGACCATTGCTGCGGATTGGTAAGTACCGGCCTTCTCCAACATGTTTGTCCACATCGTCCTCCCCCATCATCGTTTCTAGTCCTCCTCATCTTGGCGGTAACAATCTTTCCGCGGGCCCGATGGACCACCGCTGCGAGGCGCCTTCCCCTGATTCGTCCACGCCCTGCAGGTCCGATGGAGCACCGCTGTGAGCCGCCTGCTCCCCCTTTCCATTTGCTTCCCATGCTCCTCCGACCCCCCCCTGCTTCAATCTCGTCCTCTCCCCTGTCGTCCTCCTCGTCATCCTCGTCTTGGCCAACATTCCTGCGGGTCCAATGAACCGCCGCTGTGCACCGCCTCCCCCTGGCTCGCTCACGCAGACCGCTGCTTGAGATCAGTTTGCTGCGAGTAGCGCCCAGAAGCGTCTTCCGGCAACTTGGAGCGCCTGCGCGACGGGAGCACGAGCTGATGATAATGCTTCTGCGGGTCCGATGGACCACCGCTGTGGCTTGCTAGGTATTGGATTTTCCCCACATGGTTGCCCACACCGTCCTCCCCCTATTATCGTTCCTCGTCCTCCCCGTCCTAGTGATAGCCATCTCTCTGCGGGTCCGGTGGACCACAGTTGCGAAACGCCTTCCCCTGATCTGCCCACGCAAGCCGATGTTTGAGTTTAGTCTGCTGCGCTTGACGCCCCGAACCTGGTTCCGAACACCTGAACCGCCTGCATGGAATGGCCGAAACACGTGCCAATGCTTGTGTTTCCGCGAATCCGATGGGCCACAGCTGCGGGTTGCTGAGTTTCGGCCTTCTCCCACATGCGCGTCCACATCGTACTCCCCCCTAATCGTTTCTCGGGCCCTTCAGCCTGGTGATGACAGTCTCTCTGCGGGTCCGATAGACCACCGCTGCGAGACGCCTTCCCCTAATTCGTCCACGCGAACTGATGTTTGAGTCTCGTTTGCTGTGTGTGGCGCCCCGCTCACTGACTCAAATCTGGGTCCGATGAAACCACGGGAAGACTTCCCAGGAGCTCACGCAAGTGCCGACGGCTTCGCCGCTCGCAAAAACCAGGAACGGCGAGGTCTCAATCTGGTGCGCGCGTGACGTCCCTCCGCTGGACCTCCGAGGAGCCCAGGAAAGTGCTAACAAATTCGCAATTTATAAACCCCAGGGACTGCGAGATCTCATTCCAGCGTGCGTATGACGTCACTCCGATGGAACCCCCAGCAGCCCTTGAAAGTAGCCACAGCTTCGCAGTTCGCAGGCCCCAGGGACGGCGAGGTCTCAATCTGGTGTCGTTGGACGTCACTATGCTGGACCCCCGAGCAGCACTCGAAATTGGCGACAGTCTCGCAGTTCGCAGCCCCAAAGGGACGGCGAGGTCCCGATGTGCGCAGGACGTCACTATGCTGGACCCCAGAGCAGCACTCGAAATTGGCGACAGTCTCGCAGTTCGCAGCCCCCAAGGACGGCGAGGTTTCATTTTGATACGCGCAGGACGTCACGATGCTGGAGCCCCGAGCAGCCCTCGAAACTGGCGGCAGTTTCGCAGTTCGCAGCCTCCAAGGACAGCGAGGTCTCTTTCTAGTGTGCGTAGGACGTAACTATGTTGGACCCCCCAGCGCGTAGGACGTCACAATGCTGGACACCCCAGCAGCCCTCGAAGCTGGCGACAGTTTCGCAGTTCGCAGCCCCCAAGGACGGAGGTATCTCATTATGGTGTGCGTAGGGCGTCATTATGTTGGACCCCCGAGCAGCACTCAAAACTGACGAGAGTTCCTCAGTTCGCAGCCCCGAAGGACGGCGAGATCTCATCATGGTGTGCGCAGGGCGTCACTATGCTGGACCCCAAACAGCATTCAAAATTGGCGCCAGTTTCTCAGTCCTCAGCCCGCAAGGACGACAAGGTCTAATGCTGGTGTGCGTCGGACGTCGCTATGCTGGAGCAGCAGCTCTCGAAAGCGGCGACACTTCGCGGGAATCCAACATAGGATGGTAGAGAATAAAGCAGGACATAGCAGAAGGCAGGAGAGAGGAGGAGGTGGAGGAGAGGAGGAGTGGAGACCACAGCGCTCTATTCAAAACGAGAACCCAACACGAATAGGGTTGGGAACAAACACAAGCATGAATTTTCAGAGGTCCGCACGGATTTCTTGGATCGGCGCTGGACCCCCCCCCCCCTCCCTGGCGCTCGGCCCTCCCTGGCGCTCGGAGCGCGCTAGGGGCGGCGCCAGAGACGACGACGACGACGACGACGACGACGACGACGACGACGACGACGACGACGACGACGACGACGACGACGACAACGACATCGCCCAGCGGCACAAGTTTCAGGACTCCATACTTCTCCATGTTTCCTGGGTTTTCCTCTGCCTCCTCCACTGCCCCTGTATCTTGCACACTGATGGGAATATACGTTTGGTTGTGTCTGTGCCAATTTTCCCTCCTGAGAGGCGGAGGTCATGCGAAAGGAAGTGGGCGCCCGCCACCACCACTACCACCACCATCACAACCACCACCACCAAGCCTTGCGCCCGTCAGGTCGCGTGGGCAGGCACGCCAAATGCGTTCAAGAGCGCGGCAAAGCTGACACGCCGAACACGTGCCAAGGAATACGCGGGACACGCCAAACGCGTGCCGGGCAAGGGGGACGGAATGCGCAGCAGGACGGCAGAGATGTGATGATGATGATGATGATGATGATGATGATGATGATGA